GTGGTGTTGTGGTAAAATGGTGGTGTTGTAAGTGGTGCAGTTGTGTTGGGCGGTGGCGGTGCAGAAAAGTAAAGTGGCAAGTATTAAAGTGTTAAATTATCGAAGCATAAAAATTTGAGGAGTCGGAGTCGAAGGTTTTGTCTTCGACTCCACAGCCCTGTAAAGGAGTGCCAACATGGTTTTATGCTGGTGGCAAAGAAGATAAAAGTAAAAGTTATAATTACCTGTCCCAGCATGGGCCCCAGGGGAGGTCCAGCCACAGCCATGCCAGCAGGAATGTTTGTGCGTATCAAGTTACCGTGCTTCACTTTGTCCACTATCTTCTTCATCACTCTCATTTTAGCTCCAGCCTTTGACATACTTGAGGAATCTGAAATGTTGGGGGTCAGGAGTATAGCCCTTGCCTCTCACCCTATGACCCACTTGTATATGACCTGGATACAACATCGTTCAATGAGGCAAATTTGTGCCAGGGTCACAGTGTGAGATATCGTGTTCCTGAAGCCATTGCAAGCCACTTAGATGATTCCCAAACAGATGACTAATGATTTAACCATATATACCTAATTGTTTGAGTGGGATGGCAAAAAATTGGATAAAACAAACAGTAGAAATTGAGAATTTTCCACATGGGATGAGACCCTAAAGCAGACCACACCAACCAACCTAACCTACCCCATACAAGAGGTCAGGCTGATACAGTATAATATTGGGTAAAAATTCAGAAAAACACTCAACCACAGAACTCTATATTGAATTGTACGTAGGGAGATAAATAATAAAAAAGAAGAATACAGTACTTTATAGCATTTTTTGTTGAAAATGTATATTAGAGGGCAGTGAAATTTTGCTCAAAGCTGCACTCTTCAGGCATTGTTCCTTATACATATCTAAGACTCCATGCCAAATTTGAAGCTGATATGTCGAGGTTCAGTCTGCCGCATTTTCTACTGAAATTTTTAAATTTACCTACAGTACTAGCCAAACAGCCGCTGTGGCGGTGCAATGTTCTGTTCAGTGTTTATCAACTTTTTTTTCATATCTCTTATTTCATTTAAGTTGTCTTGTTGCAGATGAGTATGGTGCTATGTCTATATTGATTATCAGCCTTTTCTCATTTCATTATGTCATCATGGTTGAGCCTGGCAATGAATATCTCACACATGTGACTCCCAAGACTGGACACGGAAAGCAGATTGCCAAAACTATTCACGAGTTTCTGGTGGAGAAAAATCTAACCCAGCAGCCCATTGTGTGTGTTGGTTGTGATGGAACCAATGTAAATGTAGGATCAGAAAATGGAGTCATTCATCATCTTGAAATGTTACTTGGTCACCCGCTCCATTATTTCATATGTCAGCTTCACGGAAATGAGCTGCCTTTCCGCGCAGTTTTTTATCACTATGATGGTAAACCAAGTGGTCCTGAGCATTGGCGTGGTCCCATTGGAAAGCAGATCAAGGAGTCTTTGTCTGAGCTTCCAGTTGTCGCCTTCCAGCCAGTCAGTTTCCCTGATTTCCCTGTGTTTAATGATGAAGTGGAGAAAGATCTGTCCTGGGATCAGAAATACCTGTATAGGATTTGTAAAGGAGTTATCACAGGTGTTGTTGAAGATGACTTGGCTGCTATTGAGCCAGGTCCTCCCTGTGTGTCAAGGTGGAACACCTTATGGAGTAGAATCCTCAGGCTGTATGTAGCAACATCAAGACCCAGCCATGAGTTGAAAAGAATTGTCATTACAATAATAAAGTTCAGTGCTCCAATGTGGTTTTACATCAAGATACACCCTTACGTAACACACGGCTCAAGGAACGTATTCCAGTCCCTGCTATATATGAAACACCTGAATAGTGAGGAGGAGACGATAGTGAAGAAGGCTGTCCAGAGAAATGCATACTTCGCCCACACAGATCAACTTCTTCTTGGTATGTGTGCAGATGAGGACATGACTGTTAGAGAAAAAGCTGTCTCAATGATAAGAAAAATTAGAGAGGAGAATCAGCAAAAGGAAGAATGCACTGGCAGATCTGAAGAGGAGGAGGAAGATTCTGATGCTGCTGTTGACGAGAATTTGTTAAACTATACTGATGAGGAGGGTAAAGATGGAGATGGGAATGAGGATGTGCCTCCTGTAGTCAACATGAGAAAGGTGGTGACTCCAAAACTAAAGTGGCAAGCAAAAAACTATCATTCCATGATTAACTGGAGGAATGAACTCAAGACTGAGCCTCCTTACATTGCTTCTCTGTCAAATCTACAGGTTAATGACATTCTTGAGACACCATTAGTGGTGCCCAAGTGGCCAAACAGCACTCAGGCGGTCGAGAGAGGCATAAAAGTGATGACTGAAGCTTGCACTGAAGTGACGGGATACGAATCGAGAGATGGATATATTAGGCAAAGATTATTGTCTAGGAAAATGATGCCAAGGTTCCGCACAAAAAAGAATTTCAATATGAACTTGTAATGATTTTCTATACGGTGTACCTGTAAAATAACATGTGAATTAAATCGATGTCACCCATGTAAAATTTATCATTATCCTGGAAAACATTAAATGACACCTAATTTTTGGTATACACTAAAAGTTGACAAAAAGTCGTTTGCGATGCGGCAGGGTAAGTATGCATGAAATGGCATGAAATTTTGCACAGGTGTTTGTTACAGCCATACAAACGATGCCTGAAAAGTGCAGCCTGCAACTCAAATAAAAGTGTTTTTTCCCTGCCCCCTAATGTATATTTTCACTTTTTTACTTTTTGATTTCACTTTAAAAATGCAATTTTGATCACTCAAAGTGGGCAGGGCTTTGAAATTAAGGGAAACTGTTGGGTAAAAACACGCAAAAAAAACTGGGTAAAACCTAATCTAACTATTACAGTATTTTTTACAATGTGAAATATTTGATCAACTTTTAGAAGTGCACCGTTCTTTCGATCTTTTTATATCAGTGCACCGTTCTATCTCTCGGTGTTAGAAATATGTTTTTCTGAATGTTTATACAATTCTAAGACATTTATCTTCTATGATATTTCTAATACCGAAAGAAATATAACCTAACTTAACCTACCCCTTTTTCTGTGTAAAAAAAACCCCCCATAGAAAATCACCAAAATCCAACCCAACCCAACCTTAATTTCTGACGAAAATATCATAGAAGAAATATAACTTAGAATTGTCTAAACATTCGGAAAAAACATATTTCTAACACCGAGAGATAGAACAGTGCATTAATATAAAAAGACAGAATATTTAAGAACAGGTGTCTGGGATAAGGAGCTGGTTAGGAAACTTTTCAATAGAAGAAAGTTTTTCAGTTTATCAAGAACATCCCCAAAATATTTTTTTTCCCAAACAAAAAGATGAGAGCCTAACCTAATGACTCTCCAACCCTAACATGAGAAACCAGAAGGACATGACCTGCCGGTAACCTTTTATGGGGGGGACAAACCTGAAAAAGAATACAGAAAAACTCGAAAAATATAAATTTCTCCTAAAGTATTGTTATTTTCGCTCAATCTCCCTCTATATAAATTAATATAGTTCCGTGGTTGACCTTTTCCGAATATTATTCATAACCCAGTATTGCCTTTCATTAACTTGAGAGGTTTTGTAAGATCCTTAATTATTCCTCACAAACATGACGTGAGGCATTACAACCACTCACCAGTAAGCTGTAGATCCTTATCAACACATCAGACAAACAATCTCGTTGGAAAATTATAATATGATATAGACCGAGTCTCTAAAATTTCAAAATTTGCTTCTGATCAAAGTTAAGATTGTGAAATAAATAAATAAATAAGACTCACATCAACGTGGCCGGACGAGACGTAAACAAACGCTGGTTATTGTCACAGTTAAGTTAGTGAACCACAATCTCTTTAATTTATATTCAAAGAATAAAGAACGCTCAATAAATTATCAGTGTATTGATTATTTGAATTGTGTGATTAAAATCATAAGAAAAGACCACATTATAGGTCAATTTTACTGTCGATTAAATAAATCTTGGAACATTCCCATAGCCAATATTATCTCAATATTACTTGTATAATTTTTAGTTATGATTAAAGATCTTATGTAGCTGTTAATTTGTGTAATATTTGTATACAAATAATAATGTTATACAAATTCTTTTATGTGGATTTCTCGTGTTGCTGTTTTATTTATATTCTAAAATAACCTATATTTAATATACCCCATATAGACTCAAATTAACGAAGTTTTCTCAAAAATTAGAAACTAAAATTGAATTTATTTATATAATTATTCAATTTATGGTGATAATAACAAAAATAATTGGGTTAAAGTAAAAATTAAAACGTAGTTGGTGAAAGAGAATCATCATCAGCCGACTCATGTGTAGATCGTCTGCTCCTGATGTAAGCCTGCCCAGTTAGCAACTCGTCCTGCACATTTCTTGGGTATCCTGTGACTGTGTGTGTCTTGAGGCTCAGCGAGGGTGTGGAGCTGTAGCGAGGAGTGAGGGAGATGGCACAGCAGCTGGCAAACCTTTTCACCAGGGTCGGGCAAATTGGGTTCGGTGTGGCGGTGGTCGGTGGCGTCGTCAACTCCGCCCTCTATAATGGTGGGTATATAGATAGGTATTTATTAAGTAAAGTCATCATATAAGTTCATATTGATTCATCATGTACATAGACAATATCTATCGTAGCTCTTGATTTTATTGCAATGTTGGTCTGGTGTGTGTCCCTCGGTCTTATCTAAGCTCTTGTTTTATATTTATTTAATAAAATTCATGCAATACAAGCATACATATAAATATTTGCCGAGGATAGCCCATGCAGTATTATTAATGATTATTTTCAACCTAGTCTGGTTTTTATTGGTAATGTTGGTCAAGGTACAGACACTCAAGTATAAGTCCTGTCAGTCTTCCATCACTTTCATTAACACTTGAGATTCATGAACCTGTGGATTCAACACACCACACATTGTTGGGCCCATAGATGGTGCAAAGTTTGATGTCTCAGATCCTCAGGTTCATGAGGCTCAGGGTGCATGGATGTGATGGAGGGCTGACGGGACTTTTTCCGTGACTGTACAACACGACACAATTCCGCTACTACTCTGGGTCTTCAGAATTCTACACAACCAATTTTCTCGAGATAAAGAATAAGCTGTCTTTGACACTATATTTGATGAAAAAAAGTGGTTTAGGTGTGCAGTGCAAGAGTCACAGTACAACATATTACTTTTTGGTTCATTATGTTCATAGACAATGCAGGTATGCTAACAATAGTAAACAGTAAGTTTATTCTACCGAGGATAGCATAAGATGTTAAAACCTTTTAGTATATGTAGGGTGCATGCAGTACTGCACCATTTATGACTGCAAACATGAAACAACGAAAATGACCTTACAGGACTAAGTTGGGTTTGGTGGTTTTGTGTCATCATGTTTAAATTATGTACATTAGTGTTGCAGCCTCTGTGGACAAGATTGTTAAGAAAAGTGTGATGTATTATATTAATCAAATGTATCAATAATGTTTTGAGATTCAGTGGTGACCATTTTCTGAACCATTGCCCCAGATATGAGTGAGTTCTGGTGAATCTTGAAGTTTCAATTCCTTTTAACATTATAAGTGCAGATATTTTCAGTGTAAAGAATCCACTAATTAAACATGAATATTTATTTTTCAGTTGATGCCGGACACCGTGCTGTGATCTTTGACAGGTTTGCTGGTGTTAAGGATACTGTAACGGGTGAAGGCACTCATTTCTTCATCCCATGGGTCCAGAGGCCCATTGTTTTTGATGCCAGAACTCGTCCCAGGAATGTCCCCGTGATAACCGGCAGTAAAGGTGATTAAAGTAAAGTGGTAAAATAAAAGATCCTTGTGGGTAGCATTGTGACTTGCTTGTGGATGCTAGAAATTCACTCAAAATACTGAGTACTCAAGTTGAGAATCTGAGCAAGTATTTGTGGATATTCCTGCTCTACACTTGTATACTGTGCGTGAATATTCATGTTTGTTGACATGTGCTATATTCTCATTTTTTACATTTGTCTTGCATCTCTCTCCTTTACTGCTACCACCATGTTCTTTGTAGTTTTTGCTGTACCCTTGAGCCATTCCACTGTAAAATTGGAGAAGATTGAGGATGGTAGAATAGGAGATGAAGAAATTAAGTTATTTTTTAATGTAAATAAGTATAAACCAGGACTATGGACATACTTTAGTTTACTTTGTGTATTTTATTTATGATTCATAATTATTATGGCCATTCTATTCCCATTGAATACATGCTTTACAAACAATATGTACATATATTTGAATGTAAACTTCAGTAAGAATTATTACTGAAAAAATTTGGTTACTTAGAACGTTATTCACAAAGATAATCATATTTTTAATGTATTCTTGACAGATCTACAGACAGTGAACATTACTTTGAGAGTTTTATTTCACCCCATGAGTGATGAGCTTCCAAAGATCTTTACTACACTAGGTATTGACTACGAGGATCGTGTCCTGCCTTCCATCACGAATGAAGTCCTGAAAGCTGTTGTGGTACGTGTACTTGGTTTTTTTCTTTAGTCATCTTCAGCCAAATTTATCTGTCATGAACTTGCAATGTGTTGTTTTGCCATGCCATTATATTTGAAAAATTTTATGATGCTTATATGAAATTTAAGATCAGAAGCACTGATCCAGGGTTCAGATAGTTGCATGTGTTCTTAAATGTAACTTTGAAGTGCTCTGTCTGGTAAGATCTTTGTTGAGTGACTTTGTGTGATCACTGGAATGATCAGAGCATTGAAATTTACACATTTTATGTCATGAATTGATTGTGTTATCAGAAATGACCATTTTTAATTATTGTTATTTTATTGTCATCATGATCATAGTATTAACACAGTGCTAGTATTATTTATATGATTATTATTATTAGAGGTTATACTAATGATTCTTATATGGATATTGAGGATACAGTATTCTTATACTCTTTCAGGCTCGATATGATGCTGGAGAACTCATCACCCAACGAGAAAAGGTTTCTCGCAATGTTAGTGAACAACTTACAGAACGTTCAGCACAGTTTGGATTGGTCCTTGATGACATTTCTATTGTAAGTATCTCACCAGCTCATCAGTAAATCATCTCTACATTTGTCTAATGGCTGTAGCTGCATTAAGGAATGAGAAATTTACAAAGAAATAGCCGACACTTCATTGCTTCCATGACCTCCATCACAAAATCTTCAGGTGGAGATGAAAATGGTCTTAAACAGCAATCACTATGACTTTGTACAAGAAGGATATTTGGTGCTTTGTGGCTACATATTTGGTTCAGATTTCATGTATTAGTTTTTTTTTATTGTATAACTAACTAGCCTGTACTTCTCTTCATGTCAGGTTTGTAAATGGTCATTTATTTATTTGTTTTTATAATTTGGGGTTATAGATATGGCAAGATGCTGTAAATGGCATTATAATTTACTTGGTTATGATGTTGCAGACTCATCTGACCTTTGGCAAGGAGTTTACACAGGCTGTTGAGCTGAAGCAGGTAGCTCAGCAAGAGGCAGAGAGAGCCAAGTTCTTGGTAGAAAAGGTTAGTTTTATTGTAATTGTCTGATATTGTACTCATGAAACATGACAGAGCTTTTAAAACTAAATACAACGCTTACAGGTACAGTATACAATATTAGAACCCTGCCAAGTTTAAATTATTTATCTCTGCACTATCTAGAAGTATCTTTGGTAGTTTATGATTACAATTATAAAAAAAAAGTAATTGAGGGGGAGACATATTTAGCAAAATTACATGTGGCTGTTTGTTAGAAAGATATTGCACTAGAGTATCCATTTTTACCTTTTAGGCAGAACAAGAGAAGAAAGCAGCAGTTATTAGTGCAGATGGTGATGCCTCAGCTGCTACTCTGCTAGCCAAGTCATTTGGGGAAGCAGGAGAGGGCCTCGTGGAGCTCAGGAGAATTGAGGCTGCTGAGGATATTGCCTACAGGTAAAGGAGTAAAAGATTTATATTTTGTAATATGTGTTATTGGAGATATAAATGACCCAGATAGTTGAACACTGAAATGGATTATTGATTGTGATTTTTTAGAACAGCATGAGTGTATGGTTGACAATAAATAAAGGGATAGTCTTTATTTTCTCTTGATTCCAGTCACCCTTCATTATACTGTTGTGGGGAAAGCTTGAGAGAATAAAGCAATTAATAATAGGAGAGAATGTGTGTGTGTTTGCTCAATCCTATGGAATATAAAACCCCAGTGTATAGGGATATGACAAGTTGCTGCAAGATTCCATTTGTCTCGTATAGGTGCAGTATAGTGATAAACACATCAGTATCAGAATAACCATGATCACTCGCCCCTTTATCTCATTTCAGGTTGGCAAAGAACCGCAATGTGGCTTATCTACCAAGTAACCAAAACACCCTCTTGTCTCTCCCTCAGTGAGAATATTCCAAGGTACAGTACATGAAAAATCTCAACACAGTCTAAGAGGCAATGTAAAGTAATCGATACCTAGAGAATATATTCTTGAAAATGTCCAAGAATGTTGTTACGGTTGCTAGTTTGTCCTGAGTTCTCCATTTCATACATATAAATAAAAAAAATTGTGTTTCCAGTCTATCCAGTTTTATTACTTCGGACCCTAAACTTTATCTTGGTAAATAAATAAAAAAAATTAATATACCAATGTACATTTTATATCATAGACAAAAATGTGTAAGTACACTTCAGTTTACTTCTATAAACAATGCAACAGGAGTTCAAGCTAACAAATAAATTTGAAAATACTGTACTTGGCAATTTTTTCTTGAGTTCTGTGGGAAACATTTTTTGTGAGAGTCAGATGAAGTTACCTTTGTTTATAGTAGTTACAGCTTACCGGTAGTGGGGCTGAACGATTTGCCATTCAATTCTTATCCAAGCACAATTATCTGTTCTGTCTTTACTGTATTATTGGGGTGGAGAAATTTCCTGTTCTTGTAATATATAAGACTCTAGGCATTGAAGTTGTGGGAAAATTGGATGATTTCATTATTAACCGTCGCCATCTGTTTAGTATAACATAGTCACAGAGGCTTGCATTCCACTTTTATTGTACTTTGTTTCTGCAAAATAAAATAAAAAATGAACTATAAGCTTGGTCTTCACATTTTCTTTTTCAGTATCAAGTATTTTTTCCGATTGAATTTTATTTTTGACCAGTAACAGTTGATTGAGCTATCATGCCAGTGTTCAAGAAATTGTATTGATAACTGAATAAAGAGGCACTAGTAATGTGTTATGTATAAAGAAATGTTCAAATTGTAATTATGGTTTTTGTAAAGAAAGTTTAATGATCATTGTCTTATTTTTTAATCCTTTGTAACTATTGCTACAAAATAAAGGGGTGAGTATTCAGTGGTGATGTCAGTAGTATTTAAAAGTTATGGGGCTTAAATAGTATGGCTATAATGATGTTAATGAGAAGTGTGTCTGTGTAACTACATAGCTGGTGAAAAAAAGGATGATGAAGAAAACAGGTAAAATAAAGAATTTTGGAAAATATATGTTGAAAAATTTTAATGGTAATTATAAAATGTATGGTGCATAACTAATATGTTTACTCAAGGGTTCATGTTATGTATCTGGTATAAGTTTGTAACAAATGTCAAATTTGCATAAATTATAATCAGTTTAGTATTTATATGTTTACATGACATTAAAACACTTTTATCCTTGTGTGTATAATTTTTGGGTCAAAATCCAGGAGGCCAAGGTGAAAGATGGGCAACATGACACGTCAAGCAATACTTCACAAACTATGATAAAAACTCTTATTTTTAGTCAAAAGATTAGAATGATCATCCTATTGAGGTCTACATTATAACTTCTATCATAACAAGACCAGAGTGACCTGGAGATGTATATGCTTCAAAAGGCTTTAGCAGCAATCCCCAAAAATTAATACAGGTGCTCCACTACTTAGAATGTTCAACTTACAAACTTTCAGAGATACAAACAACATCACTGAGGGGGGTTACCTGCCAGAACAGGTGTTTAATGTGGATGAGACTGGATTATTTTGAAGAAAATTTCATATGGAACAAGCATTACCTAAGAGGAGAAGAGTGAGCCAGGTTTTAAGGCTGTATTAAAGGGTATAGCTGTACTAAATGTCCATAATCTTAATTTTTTACAATACGTTTGGTATCTACAGTACAAGAGTAAAGTTGGACTTACAAACAATTGGACTTACAAACAAGCCTCAGGAACGTAACTCGTTCGTAAGTAGAGGAGCACCTGTAACTCATTTTTTACTAGAAACCAACCTTACAGAGAAGGGTTTTAGGTGAAAGTTATGAAGGTTTTGTAAGTAAAAATTAAATTCTGTATTTCACAACTCAAGAACACTGAGTTCTTGAAAATGTTCTATTTTAGTGTATGATTATGTATAATTTTTAGAGCCATTTCATAATATTTTTTCATGTAATTATTTATATAGTCTAACTGCTTGATTTCCTTCATGTTGGTAAAGTTATATTGTATGTGCGAGAGAACTGGGGCAAGTGATAAATAAAACTAGCTATCATGAATTTGGATGTGGGGCTGCAGATATATATGACCTGGTGGTGTCAGGGAGCACCTGGCTCCTCCTGTAACACCTGGCCACAGAACCTACATCGGGGCAATATTTCACCTACATTAACACTGCACGGCATGATTCTGTGAGGAAGAGCAACAAGATCAAAGAAGCACCACACCCGTGTCATCAGTTAGCTACGTACAGTAGATCTCTACTCCAGGATTGCAGCCATGCTGTCTCACCAGCTGTATTTACTCATGGTGGCTCTGATGACCCTTGTGGTCAATGCTGACTCTACTGACAACTCAAGAATACGTCATCGGGTAATTTGACTTCTTGTTCTGTAACTTTTATTTGTCTTAATAGTGTCTGCAGTGATCTATAAGATGGACCTTAAGGGCTCGGTCATTCATAATAGGCATTAATATTCTTATTAGGGGTGTCAAGGGTAAGTTAAGTCATGATGGCACCTGACTTATACAGTATAATACTCTACGGCACCACTGATTCTTTGGCAAGGACAATAAGCTACCATGAAGGTGTGATCCCTTGTGTCTTATTTTATTCTGTGAGACAACCTCCATACTCCTCCTCCCCCCTCTGTAAATATTTTTTCAAGTTTGCTCTAAATGATAAATAAAAATATGTACAAGGGAAACAGTGTTATACAATATTCAAACAAAGCTTATATTACCTGGTGTTGTATATGAATGGTCAACACTGTTAATATTCACCTTACAGTGGATGCATTGGTAAGATTGCTAAGGGTACCATACACTTTGCATTAAGCAACTAATGCGTAAAGCTTGGATGATAAGTCAAATAGTATTTATTTTCTCTTAAAGTGGATAGTGGAGATTGACTGATTTTTTTTTAATGGAGAATTTAAACCACGAAAAAAAAAAAACATTCACAAAACAAACTCTCCAAGTAGTTGCTAGGGTAAGGTAGTCACTGGAGTAGGGAGGTCACTAGGTTAAGGTGGTTGCTGGGGTAGGATGGTTGCTGGGTAAGTGGTTGCTAGGGTAAGTGGTCGCTGGGGTAAGGTGGTTGCTGGTGTAAGGTGTTACAGAGTAAGGTTGGCCATAAAATCAGGTGGTCCTTGGCAATGTCAACTAGCTCGATCAACTTTAAAATTTGTGTACAGTCCAACTTTTCTTTGGTGACTTGACCTTCGACAGATTGTGACCAAAATTTACTGATTACCAACTGACAAATAATATACAGTACAAGTAACGTCAGTGGTATAAATACGATGTATAACAAAGGGAGAGGGGAGAAACTCATTCAACTGGGAATATTAAAATAGTAACCGTGCAAAAGTAAGATTGGCTGGGAGTGAACTACGAGCTGTTGATAATTTTTACAGTGGTTGGGATTGGGCTGTTCATATAGTGATCAGTACGTGGTTGTATTAAATTGCGCATGGTCTGCAGCTTCCCAAATACGGCGAGCAGTGTAAGCGATCAAAGGGACTGTGTTGGCAGAGACTGACCTGCTCACAGCAGGTAGGGGGCAGCATGGAATGTACCTACCCATACGTCTGCTGCAAGAGTCCCTCAGGTACGTCCTTATACACAACTGCATCACGGAATTAATGTTTAAGTCACAAAGCAAACCCTGGTTAATAATAAGAATAATCCACATAATTTGGGTTATTGCGAAGACCAGGGATATGTCACCCACAGCTGAGCAGCTTAACAAACATGACAATACAAGATACAGACTAACTGTTAGACTATCTTGTCTTAGAATAAGCTAGTTAAGGTTATGTTAGGTGATTCATAGTGTACTGTTAGACTAAAAGCACAACAAAATTACCTGACATTACCTAAACTAACTTATTCTAATATAACCTAACCACTCGGGTAGTGTTAAGATTAGATTTATGCCATATTGAATAACAGTAAAACAAAGTGCATAAACTCTTATTTAATAACAGATTTCCAAAACTTATTTAATAACAGATTCCCACCATCTAAAGATCATTTTACTCAGTTTTAGTTGTGAAAATAATGGGCTAAAAGAATTATTTTACTAGTCTTCATACATTTTATATTTAATGTTTTAAGAAGCCGCAAGTCCAGAAAACTGTGAGGGCAAACTTTTTCGAAGTGAGAGTTGTGAACTCTTGGAACAATCTACCAGAGAGTGTTGTGACGGCACCGAGTGTGAGCTCTTTCAAGACAAGACTTGACCAACACTGAAGGAGGTTCAGGTACATTCATGAGCCAGTGCATGCCCAGTACTTGCCAACAGTGCGTAACAGAGACGTGACCGCTCGCCCAAGCGGCTAACGAGCCGATCAGTGGTGAAGGGGATAAAAGTAAAAAGTAAAAACATAAATTTTGTTGTTTGTCAGTCATAAAATAAAGATATTGTATACCCAATAAATACTCTTTTGCCATTAGTTTTAACATAAAATAGGTAAGTAAAATGAGCTTTAAATGATGAGAATTGGTCAATAAATAAGAGTTTATACACTTTCTGTATGAACGAAGTAAGTTTTTGAGTAAGGCTCGGACAATATTGAATTTTATTGCATCTATAACTCAGGTCCTATTGGTCACAAACACCGGAAATTTTGCACGAAACTCCCACTAGAAGTAAAGATAATTTTAAGTCAATGTCAACTTCTTATTCCCAAAACTAATAGTTTAACTGCACCTGTGAGGGGGGGGTTTAATACATCACCACTAGGGATCTTGGGAGCAGTAGGATATGTGCAGGGTTCTTTATTAACCAATGTATTTTATTTGAATGGTTACGTATGCTCATATGAGTACTAAAAGTACTTCCAATATCCCTCCACCAACTTGACATATCCTGGCAAACTCATTAAAATATTATCTTAGTATATCCTTTAGATTCAGGTACGTTTTTTACTTAGGTAGTATGAAAGAAAACAAAACTAACTTGAATTTGAATTGTAACTAAAGCATTTGTCACAGTGTTGGTCTGAAAGTACTGATACATTGGTTGACATGACAGACGAAAAACTTATATATTGAAGGCTTTAAACTTACACTGGGCTAAATTTTGAACCAAAATTTTATTCACCAAACAAAATAGATGGATATAGAGTGGATGTTTTGCCGAGACCGGCTAAGTTCCTACTAACGCTATTTTACCGTGAGTGAGCTTTGATTGGCTAAGTACTTTCTGTTTAATATTAGGGGGTCCGCCCCCCGGCTAGGAAGTTAGGTAAAGTTAGGTAGGTTTATTTGTTTGGTTAGGTCAGGTTCTATTAGTTTCTAGTAAATCTCGCCTCTTTTATAGTGATAAGTTTCCATGCACAACAGAAATATGGTTTGGTATATTTACAGAGACACAACGATCGACTTGTGGCGAAATAAATGCCAAATGCCGCCAGAGTCAGTCAAATATAGTTCTTGAGCTGTTCGCCGGTAATGGACGATTAGCCAATCAGGGCACACTCAAGGTAAAATAGCGTTAGTGGAAACTAAGCGGGTCGCGACAAAATACCCACTGCCAAAAGAAAATCTGAAATTCGGCAGAAAAATAACCCCTTAAGGTGCTTTTAATCATTAAGTAAAATAAGCTGGGGGATATTATTCATAGGATCCGATATGTTTGAATAGGTTAGGTTTGGTTCACAGGTAATAGCACAATGTCTTAAAGGATAACAGCACAATTTATGATTACCGCACAACCTCCCACGATAAGTTAACAGGACTGTAAGGATCAACAGCGTTCATGTCTTGCTGTAGCTGTGGTTTACAGATCCCTCAGGTTGCTGGCACAAGGGGAAGCGGTACGTTCAAGGACAACGCAGGTTTCGGGCGTGTGAGAGCATAGTGTGTGGTGACCAAGGGCAGTGGAGGCCGACTGGTGTTTTCTGTGACCCTAATTGTGAGTATTTCATTCATGTACAAACATTAAATGGTATTTCTAGGACTTTAAATCTATATTACAGTTTAAGTTTATCAGATTATTGAGACGATAAGAAATGTAAAAAATTCTCCAGAACAACGATTTTCCACGAAATTTTTATCAATAAATCCCCTAACACATTGGCTAGATTAAAACGCATCATATCATTTATTAATTAACGGGATAATATAGTACAGAATATTGCGTTTTTATAGTAGTCAGGACCTTCACTTACAACACCGCTGTATAGGAGAGCACAGTAACACTCATCATCTGAACGTCTTCACATGTTCGTGACAGACTAGTGTAGGTCTTTTTACCCCTAATTAAAAGAGTGACATGCTGCAGGTTGTACTGTCCGCGGTAAACACTTCATGCACGGAGATAAACGCATAAAATCTTGCGAAGAGATTGAGTGCAGGAAAGGCCGCTGGAAGAAAACCCAAGTCTTCAGTGACCCAAAATGTAAGTACTGTACATACTGCACAGTGAAATTACTTATGCAGAATCAACAGCAGTAAAGCGAATACCACACGGCAGAAGGGCAATAATATTGAACATCAACCTGTGATTTTCGCCGTATTGTATTTAAATTCACCAAGGCGTTACGTTGATCTTTATATATATATATATATATATATATATATATATATATATATATATATATATATATATATATATATATATATATATATATATATATATATATATATATATATATTGCAATTTATTGAAAAAATACAAATGAACTAAATCGGCAATTTATAGTATTATCTTTAGTCAGAAGAAGCACACCATATAACTTTTTGGCCTCAGTCATTGAGTATTTCGACAGGTTGTGTTTTCCATGGAAAGTCTTTCTTACACAAGCAGACTCGCCCAGCTGCTAAGTGCGTCACGGCTGTCTGTACCAGAGGACAATGGAAATATTCCCGAAGCCCTGACTGTAAGTGTTACCTTATAAACTTTTGATGTATTATAACAACAACCACAAGGGTACGTGGGAGTGTGCTGCATTACAGGTTGTGTTTCTGGGGAGGCTTTGAACCTGACTAAATAATGTGTAAAGAACCATGCTGGGTTAACAAAACCTTCAGCTACCCTCAATGTAAATAATTTTTTTTAGAGCGTTATGGGAATAATGTTGTGTAGGATACGAACTGACCAATACAAGTGCTTCAACATTTTTCATATCACCATGACTCTCACTACAGGTTGTAAGTTTTATGGTGAATATTACCGACACGGAAACACCCGCTATGACCACTGTGAGACGGTCAAGTGTATCCGAGGAAACTGGGCGATGACTGGTGTGTTCTCCGACCCTCACTGTAAGTATTCCTTCATCGTGTTAATCCAGAACCTAAGTAATTATGTATAAATACGTTCGATAACGCCACAAAAAATAGTTTGATTGACGTTACACCATATATTACAGGCTGCCAGTTTAAGAAGAAGTATTATCGACACGGAGAAACGCGTGATAAGAATTGTAAGCTTATTTTATGTGACCGAGGACGATGGACCATCACTGATGAATATTGCGGGCCTGGATGTAAGTATAAGAACATGATTACTACTACTACTACTACTATGTCTGATAATGTAGCTTGTTCGTAAGGAGATTTTGTTACCTAGAACTGATAATATTTCCTACATCAGGATATAGTGTTACTCAGAATTTTTTGAAAATACTTTCCATTTCAGGTCATATTACTGTTATAGTGTTATAGGTACGACAATATTCAGGTCGAATAATTTCCAGGTTGCCCGACAACATCTACAACCACGACAACATCTACAACGACGACAGCATCTTCAACCACGACAACATCTACAACGACGACAACATCTACAACCACGACAACATCTTCAACCACGACATCTTCAACCACGACAACATCTCCAACCACGACAACATCTACAACTATACTTTATTATCTTCAACCACGACAACATCTCCAACCACGACAACATCTACAACCAGGACAACATCTACAACCACGACAACATCTGGCCATAAGCACAACAACATCTACAACCAAAAGCATCTCCAACCACGACAACATCTACAACCATGACAACATCTACAACCACGACAACATCTACAAGCACAACAACATCGCAACCATAACACCTCCAACCACGACAACACCTCCAACCACAACAAGACCTACAAGCACAACAACATACAACTAACATCTCCAACCACGACAACATCTACAACCATGACAACATCTACAATCACGACATCATCTACAAGCACAACAACATCTACAACCATAACACATCTCCAACCACGACAACATCTACAACCACGACAACATCTACAACCACGACAACATCTACTAACACACACATCTACAACCACGACAACACCTCCAACCACGACAACATCTACAACCACGACAACATCTTCAACCACGACAACACCTCCAACCACGACAACATCTCCAAACAAACAACATCTACAACCACGACAACATCTACAACCACGACAACATCTCCAACCACAACAACACATCTACCACGACAACATCTACAACCACGACAACATCTCCAACCACGACGACATCTACAAGCACAAAATATCTACAACCATAACACCTCCAACCACGACAACATCTACAGCCACGACAACATCTACAACCACGACAACATATCCAACCACGATAACACCTCCAACCACGACAACATCTCCAACCACGACAACATCTTCAACCACGACAACGCCTCCAACCACGACAACCACGACAACACCTCCAACCACAACAACATCTCCAACCACGACGACATCTACAAGCACAAAAATATCTACAACCATAACACCTCCACCACCAACCACGACAACATCTACAGCCACGACAACATCTACAACCACGACAACATCTACAACCACGACAACATCTCCAACCACGACACTCTCCAACCACGACAACATCTACAGCCACGACAACATCTACAACCACGACAACATCTCCAACCACGATAACACCTCCAACCACGACAACATCTCCAACCACACAACATCTTCAACCACGACAACGCCTCCAACCACGACAACACCTCCAACCACGACAACATCTCCAACCACAAGAACATCTCCAACCACAAGAACATCTCCAACCACAACAACATCTACAACCACGACAACATCTCCAACCACAAAACATCTACAACCATAACACTCCAACCACGACAACATCTCCAACCACGACAACATCTCCAACCACACAACATCTCCAACTACAACAACATCTACACCCACGACAACATCTACAACCACGACAACATCTCCAACCACAACATCTACAAGCACAAAAACATCTACAACCATAACACCTCCAACCACGACAACATCTACAGCCACGACAACATCTACAACCACGACAACATCTCCAACCACGACAACATCTACAGCCACGACAACATCTACAACCACGACAACATCTACAACCACGACAACACCTCCAACCACGACAACACCTCCAACCACTCCAACATCTCCCACCACGACAACATCTCCAACCACGACAACATCCCCAACCACGATCCCCCAACCACAACAACACCTCCCCACAACAACACCTTCAACCACGACAACATCTACAACCACAACAACACCTTCAACCACAACAACATCTCCAACCACGACAACATCTCCAACCACGACAACATCTCCAACCACAACAACATCTCCAACCACAACAACATCTCCAACCACAACATCTCCAAACTTTCACGACAACATCTCCAACCATTAAATATCTCCAACCACGACAACATCTCCAACCACGACAACATCTCCAACCACGACAACATCTCCAACCACAAGATTCCAACCACTCCAACCACGACAACATCTCCAACCAATAACAACATCTCCAACACAACAACCTCCAACCACAACAACACCTTCAACCACGACAACATCTCCAACCACAAGAACATCTCCAACCACGACAACATCTCCAACCACAACAACATCTCCAACCACAACAACATCTCCAACCACAACAACATCTCCCAACCAGGACAACATCTCCAACCACAACAACTCCAACCACAACACCTTCAACCACGAGGACATCTCCAACCACGACAACACTCCAACCACAACAACACCTTCAACCACGACAACATCTCCAACCACGACCACAACAACATCTCCAACCACGACAACATCTCCAACCACGACAACACCCTCCAACCACAACAACATCTCAACAACATTCCAACAACAACATCTTCAACCACGACAAGATCAACCAACAACATCTACAACCACTCCAACCACAACAACATCTACAACCACGACATCTCCAACCACAACAACATCTCCAACCACGACATAACATCTCCAACCACAAACCACACAACAACATCTCTCCAACCACGACAACATCTCCAACCACAAGGACATCTCCCAACCACGACAACATCTCCAACCACAACAACATCTCCAACCACAAGGACATCTCCAACCACGACAACATCTCCAACCACAAACATCTCCAACCACGACAACATCTCCAACCACAAGAACATCTCCAGCCACGACAACATCTCCAACCACGACAACATCTCCAACCACAAGAACATCTCCAACCACGACAACATCTCCAACCACGACAACATCTCTAATCACGACAACAAAATCTTCATCTTCGTCATCATCGTCATTGTCGTATTCAAACAGTAATAGTTCGGGTTTCTATCACGTATACCAGGCTTCGTACCCCATCATACCCATGTCAATACTGGTTATATAGGCAACCTGTCATTTTTATCATCGTCGGTATCATCACCACCACTACTATCATTATCACAACTACCACCATCATCACTGCCTCTACTACCACCATCATTACTGCCACCATCATCACTGTTACCACCACCACTGCCATTACTACAACAGCCACTACCACCACTGTTACTACCACAACCACCAACTGCCATTGTATAAAAGGCACATCTTCAACACTAAAACAATAACAACCATATCTCGTAAATTTTGCTTAGATGTAAGTTTAAAGACTAGCTTTTATGATTGATGTGTGTGGGGGGCGTGTGTGAATATGTGTATGTGTGAGCGTGTGTGTAGTGTGTATATATATATATATATATATATATATATATATATATATATATATATATATATATATATATATATATATATATGTATGTGTGTATGTATGTATGTGTGTGTGTGTGTGTGTGTGTTGTTAGTAATAAGGTAAAAAGTCTTTCCTTAATATCTCACATATTATTGAAATTATCAAGCTATAAGGACTGGAGTTTTTGTGTGATATTAACTGTACTGAAAATAAAACATGATAAAAAACACTATTTATCTTTGTGCTCTTTTTTCCCTCATAGTATAATTTTTTGTGCTTGCTTTAAAATGTGACCGCACTTTCCTGCTCGACACTTCTTTCCCCTCCAAATCTTGTAATAATTCCTGTTTGTCAAAATATTCTCTGTACAGTGTCCACCTCACAGACACCTTCTCAACTTGTATGTGCAGTTGGTGACTTTTCCGACTGGTACAGTCAGCATTGCCAACCCAACCTCTCTGTTAGGTGTGAACCCTGAGAGTATCGACTCATGACTCCGAAGCATTCACAAGTAAGGAGGAGAGACAGGAGTCGGTGTGTGAAAGGGTGGCGGGTTATGGGATGTAAGGAGGAAGTTCAGGGCGAGAGGGATGGGGGAGATTTAAGGAGTTACTTGTGAAGTTACAACATAATATGTATCAAGCAAGGATATAAATACATAGGGCAAAATACAAATTATGCTTAGAATGTATTACCACATTTTAGGGTGACATTCCTAACTTGTGATAGGGGGGCGGTCTGAAGTCTCAATATGGTGTCCTTTTATGACCTATTCATATCCTTGTTTAATAAACACTGTGTTCTAACTGCACAAGTAACTCCTTAACCCTGTCCCACCCCTCTAGCCCCCGAACACCCTCCTCAAACCCCAAAACCCGCAACCCGGTCACACACAGACCCACCTCTCCCCTCACTCACGAATGCTTCGGATTCACGAGTTGATACTCTTGGGGTTCACACCTCACGGAGAGGGTGGATTGACAATGCTGAGTGTACCAGTCAGAAAAGTTCCCAACTCTTAACAATATATTTTTTCCAGTAATATTTGTACTGTACTCGAGATTTGTGCCAAGTGATTTGACAGATGTATTCTAATATCTGCAAAGAAGAAGTCTCGACTATGAATCCGACGGTGCCACATGCTCGGTAAGGCCACCGAAGGGTAAATACTGCAGCATACCTATCTATCTATCTACTTATCTATCGTATAATATAGATAAGGTATGACGTAAACTTGTAAGAAACACCAGACAAAGAACATCACAATAACATCTACAAGACCGAGGTGTCAGCTGCTTATTGCTTCCCACCATTTTGTGAGTCATTCCTTATTTTTCTCCGTTTTCAAAGTCTTCATAATATTTAAAACGAGCAATATATCTCCAAGCCGTCTACATTAAATACTTTTAAAAAATGTAAAATTTGCATGAATTATTAAGTCTGCAATTTATTTACATGTTGTGAAGGGCGTTTAGAGTTCAGAGGTACAGTTAGAATATTTACATGAAGGACTGTTACAAGATATTCCTTCATTCTGACGTTCATCTTCTCATACACACAGCCACAATTTAGAAAACCATTGTCGACCGTAACACGAGAACAGTGTGTTCCTTATATAACACTGTTCTATGGGTGAAAATAATCAAAAGTTCGTACATGTCAAAATCTCTTATTCCTGATCACAGCTCAAAATGTTAAGCTTCTGGAAACCCAAATATACAAGGTATCCTCCATTATATTATGTGGCCCATTTTTAAACTTAATACAGTACCTTGAAAAATATTATAGAAAGGACTCGTTGGTTTCATTATATAGTACTTGGCGAACAGCTCATAAGGGTTTTACTTGCATTAGTAGACCTCTGTAATATTGTTGAGGTTATTAGGTTTTAAAATAGGTCAAATAATTTATGGACGCAGTACATATTGTGTAGAAATATTTTAGTGTCTGCTTTCAGTCGTTTTATCTCAAGCACCATTTTTTCATAATATTTATCATAAGTTTACTCATATTTCAGTGTCCTGGCTTGAGTTCATCACTAAGAGTTGGGCTGCAGACAAGTAAAACTTGCTTTCGCGGATGTGGCTGTCATAAGTCAAGGCGAAATGTGATTAATAGGGTGTCACGTAAGCACCTGTTGGCCCCCACGGCTGGTATACAGAGCTGGGTCTCGAGTCCACATTCACCAGTCACACCTCAGAGCAGCTGCAAGCAAGCTGGGTAGGATATCCACTTTACAGCACAGGTAATGTTAAAAAGACTACGATAATCATAACCTATAACTGTTTATTTTTTAAACAACATAAACCATTGACTTAACCTAACTAGAGTGTCCTTGGATCATTGAGTTAGATTGTTCGTTATCATCATGTTTAAGATACTATTCTAACGTTAACAGTCTTGCAGGGCCTGCACTGGGTTGCCGCCATGTTACTTCACAATCTGTGTGTACTTTTACTGGCACTGATGACTTTAGTCGCCAGCGCTGACACCATCGAGGAAGGGAAGTTGAGCAGAGATCATCATGTAAAGTATATTTAATGTTACTTAACTTAGCATAATGTTAACTAGACAGAATGTCTGTCTTAAGCTTTAAAAGCTATCGCCTAATGCAAACAATGATTTTTGTGAGGTACTTGAAGACCTTAGCTAACGAGGAAGCGAAATACCGTACAGTATTTAAAAGATTAATAACAACATCACGACCAGCTCTCACAAGTCATCCATAATTTTTAGAGTTAAAGTTGTGTCAGATGAACTCTAGTGTTTTGTTCTTCAGCTGTGAATAATTGTTCTTGACTTTCAAGTTAATTGTTGTGATGTTTGGATGACGATGGTTAAAGTAAATTAAATAGAGTTTTTAGTTTTTGTGTTTATGATTTTATTTACAATAACCTAAAGGGGTTATGTGTTTAACTAAGACCCTGTAGGTTATTAAACATTCGAATTATTTGGATGGGTTTAAATAATGTAAAAGACAAGATATGAGTATGGCGCTCTTCTCCTGTCGTAATGGTCGATTGTTCACGCCCAGGGAACCTCCAGTTCACCCAGCTGTGAATGGGTCCCAACACTACAGGTGAAGAAGTCAAGGCAGAAGAGTGAAGTACCAAACAAACTTCTTCTTGGTATGAGTGACGGATGGGGCACGATTTTTGTTTCGATTTTCTCATTAGTATAACATGTGTCTTGTTGCAGCTTCCCGGGTATGGTGAGCCGTGCAACCAAGCCCGAGGAGTGTGTTGCAAGAGTGCGACGTGCATGAGGGTGGTGGGAGGCGAGGAGGAGTGCGTCAAACCCTACGTCTGTTGCGACCGAATATTAGGAAGTGAGTTCCTCTCCTGTTATTTTTAACCTTATATGACTTACTTTTTCTGTTATAATCAAACTCCAAACACAGATAAAAACGCTAAATTTCAGCTCAAAGACTAGAGAGAATAGTTTTTCGACGCCAAATCTCACCAAAAGTTTACCTTACTCTTGATGGTTCAGGAGAAGGGGTTGAGTGTGGGTCTCCTCCCTCATCCATATTAAATTACTAATAAAGACTATTGTTAGAGCCTTGTTACGACCTTCCTTGTAAAGCAATTCAATAGAGTAGCTGTGAGCGAAGTGGAAAGTTTGGTGAAGATATTGATACTGATAATATAGCACTCATACATACACGAACAAAACTATTCCTTCTCATATGCGATAAACACGGCAATAAAAATCATCTATATAAGGTCATCGAATAAAAAATGCTTAGATTTTAATTATTTACATATTTAAATCTGGTCATTCTTGTCATCGCGGGAAGATGATTCAGGAGGGACGCGGGGGTAAAGTGTGTTAGGGAAGTCGATTTTATTTACCCCCGTCTTAAATTCACACGATTCTTTTGTCAAACTACTACTTCTACTACTATTACTAATTTTACTACTACGGGTACTAATTTTATTATTACTACTACTACTTTTACTACTGCTACTCAATGCCGATTGAATTTATCATACATTTAAAAAATAACTCAATTCATATAAACAGTAATTAATTGTTGGTAAAAATAAATTAACGTTTGGGCACTTTACTTCTAGAAGACAGACTGAAGTGTAAGTAAAACAATCACTTTACCACTAGACAGGCTAAAATATACGTAAAAACGCCACTTTTACCATTAGAAAGGATAAAGTATAAGTATTTATCTGTAATACAATAACACATCAACCCACTAATGTCCTCAATAGGCTGTGGAGAATATACACCTTATTCCTGCTTGAGGCATGGAGGAAGGTGTAAAAAGGAGTGTGAAAATAATGAACACGAGATCCATGCCAAGTGTGATGACGACGATGATGACGACTATGATGACGACCACAATGACGACCACGATGACGACCACGACCACCACCACGATTATGATAAACACGACCATGAAGACGAGGATCACGACCATGACTGTCACTGTTGCGTCAAACGGTGCAAGGAGAACAAGTCGTGTACGGATATCCTGGGCCATTGTATTGACGATCTGGACGACTATATCAACGGAACGCTGCTGAGTACAGGCTGTGAAGGCCACAAGTGTTACTGCTACGTTCAGGAGAGTAAGTGTTGAGAAGGAATGTTATATATATAGTTATGTTATGTTAGTGGCAATTTCATATTTATGCTTAATTGGTTCAGTATACATTGACTTGATCCTTTGAGTACGATGATTTAACGTCTTGAGTACACAATCCTTCGTACTCAAGAGATTAAGTCATCATACTCAAGGTGTTAAGTCATCATACTGGAAAGGTTAAATCATCATACTCCATGAGTCAAGTCATCATACTCAAGGGATTAAGTCATCATACTCAAGGGATTAAGTCATCATACTCAAGGGATTAAGTCATCATACTCAAGGGATTAAGTCATCATACTCAAGGTGTAATCATAGTCAAGGGGTTAAACAGTTTCTTTAGACCTGCTGTATCAAGGCTGTTTCAGAAAATATCTATCAAATGAAGGAAAACTTGATTCTTTTCTCAGATCTCAGTGCTTGCGTAAAACTCCTTTAAAATGGATATAAAAAGAACAATCTTAAACTATAACACAAGATTTCACAAGAACTTTACGAGCAAACATTAAACCCTTTCAGTATAATGACTGGGGAAAATTATTCGACTTTCATAACTTTATATAACTTAAAATTTATATGAGAACTAGTCACCAGGGTATTGAAATAAACAACTAAAATATATCATTATAATAACCAAATTTGTGAGTTAATCCTATAGTGAACACATCGTAGTCAGTGTGTGTTAATGTGTCTGTCAGAGGTCTAAACTAAACTAAACTAAACTAAACTAAACTAAACTAAACTAAACTAAACTAAACTAAACTAAACTAAACAACTAAACTAAACTAAGCTAAACTAAACTAAACTAAACTAAACTAAACTAACCTATTAATGTAAAGCTCATTGTTGCAGGTTGTGAGTGCGATGGTAAGGTCTACTTCCACAATTCTGTTCGTCCTGTTGCCAAATGTTTATCAGCGGTGTGTGAGAGGACAAGCTGGAAGATCTACCGCCATCCTGAGTGTAAGTTTCAACAACACAAGAATACTGTATTGGGTTGTGTGGTTTCATTGTGTTGCGGGTATGGGTTGTGTGGTTTCATTGTGTTGCTGGTATGGGTTGTGTTGTTTCATTGTGTTGCTGGTGTGGGTTGTGTGGTTTCATTGTGTTGCGGGTATGGGTTGTGTGGTTTCATTGTGTTGCGGGTATGGGTTGTGTTGTTCATTGTGTTGCGGGTATGGGTTGTGTTGTTCATTGTGTTGCTGGTATGGGTTGTGTGGTTTCATTGTGTTGCTGGTGTGGGTTGTGTTGTTCATTGTGTTGCGGGTATTGTGTTGTTCGGGTATGGGTTGTGTTGTTCATATGGGTTGTGTTGTTCATTGTGTTGCGGGTATGGGTTGTGTTGTTCGGGTATGGGTTGTGTTGTTCATTGTGTTGCGGGTATGGGTTGTGTTGTTCATTGTGTTGCGGGTATGGGTTGTGTTGTTCATTGTGTTGCGGGTATGGGTTGTGTTGTTCATTGTGTTGCGGGTATGGGTTGTGTTGTTCATTGTGTTGCTGGTATGGGTTGTGTTGTTCATTGTGTTGCGGGTATGGGTTGTGTTGTTCATTGTGTTGCTGGTATGGGTTGTGTGGTTTCATTGTGTTGCTGGTAATGGTGAGTTATCAGATCACATGAAACTTAGACCTCCCCAGCTTACTTCTCCTGATGACTGAAGGCAATAATGTTATGTAGGGGTAGGTTAACCTTAGTGTTAGGTTAGGTTAGCTTAGTTGGCTTTCGGGTCGTTAAATTTAAAATGAAATATACTGGAAGGTTTCATCTTCGGGTGATCTTAGTACCTAACCTAAACCATTTAACTAATTAGTGTCAACATTTAGGTAATTGGATATTATGCCACTTTACAGAACAAAAGGGTATAAAGACCACCGCGCCCAGAAAAAAAAAGAAAAATAAATTCGCAGCCAGAAATTGCTTTTACAGAAAACCTTTTAATTTAAGACCTTCCTTATAATAACAACCAAAAAGCTAAATATTATTAATTAATCATTCAAAGTGCCATCTTCCTGTTCAAGAAAAGTTGTATTAATATCTTCGTTTATCTTTACAGGTTGTAAGTTTGCAGATCGCTACTACTCAGAAGGAGAAATGCGTTTTGAAGGCTGTAAATTGTTTAAGTGCGTTCGAGGCAACTGGGACAAAATTAGTTCATGTCGACACGAATGTAAGTACAATAATAATAATAATAATAATAATAATAATAATAATAATAATAATAATAATAATAATAATAATAATAATAATAATAAATAACTAATAATAATAATAATAATAAAAATAATAATAATAATAATAATAATAATAATAATAATAATAATAATAATAATAATAATAATAATAATAATAAACATATTTTATAACCTTGGTCACTTAAGTCACATGCCCTAGTTGGGTTCTGTGCCCCTCACTTGACGGAGAGAAGTTGATCTTTACTCAGGTCATAAGAGTACAACTGTTTATTGACCACTTTCCTCCTGCAGGTTGCCCGGACACAACCACAACAACAACAGCAACTACAACTATTCCTGCAGTCTGAAATACTGCTACTACAACAACAATCTCAATTATTACTACAATCTGATATACTACTACAACAACTACAACAACCTCAACAACTATTACTACAACACCAACCTCAGTTATTACTACAATCTGATATACTACTACAACAACAACAACAACCTCAACAACTATTACTACAACACCAACCTCAACAACTATTACTACAACACCAACCTCAATTATTACTACAATCTGATATACTACTACAACAACAACAACAACCTCAACAACTATTACTACAACACCAACCTCAATTATTACTACAATCTGATATACTACTACAACAACAACAACAACCTCAACTACTACTACTTAACCTTTATTACTACAATCTGATATACTACTGCAACAACAACAACCTCAACAACTATTACTACAACAACAATCTCAATTATTACTACAATCTGATATACTACTACAACAACTACAACAACCTCAACAACTATTACTACAACACCAACCTCAGTTATTACTACAATCTGATATACTACTACAACAACAACAACAACCTCAACAACTATTACTACAACACCAACCTCAACAACTATTACTACAACACCAACCTCAATTATTACTACAATCTGATATACTACTACAACAACAACAACAACCTCAACAACTATTACTACAACACCAACCTCAATTATTACTACAATCTGATATACTACTACAACAACAACAACAACCTCAACTACTACTACTACAACAGCAACAACTTCAACTACTACAACACCAACAACAATGGCATCTACTCGAAAAAAATGACGTCTATTACATCAACAACAACAAAGATGCCTACAACAACGACAAAAAAAAGTAGAAAACTTTTCTACTAAAAACAACAACAATGACGTCTACAGCAACAATGACGTCTACAACAACAATGACGTCTACAACAACATCAAGAACAACAACAATGACGTCTACAACAACATCAAGAACAACAACAATGACGTCTACAACAACAATGACGTCTACAACAACAATGACGTCTACAACAACAATGACGTCTACAACAACATCAGAAATAACGTCTACAACAACATCAAGAACAAAAGCAATAACGTCTACAACATCAACCATGACGTCTACAACAGCATCAACAATGACGTCTGCAACAACATCAACCATGACGTCTACAACAACATCAAGAACAACAGCAATAACGTTTACAACATCAACCATGACGTCTACAACAACATCAACAATGACGTCTGCAAAAACATCAACCATGACGTCTACAACAACATCAACAATGACGTCTACAACAACATCAACAATGACGTCTACAACAACATCAACAATGACGTCTACAACATCAACAACAATGACGTCTACAACAACATCAACCATGACGTCTACAGCAACATCAACAATGACGTCTGCAAAAACATCAACCATGACGTCTACAGCAACATCAACAATGACGTCTGCAAAACTCAACCATGACGTCTCAACCATGACGTCTACAGCAACATCAACAATGACGTCTGCAAAAACATCAACCATGACGTCTACAGCAACATCAACAATGACGTCTGCAAAAACATCAACCATGACGTCTACAACAACATCAACCATGACGTCTACAGCAACATCAACAATGACGTCTACAGCAACATCAACAATGACGTCTGCAAAAACATCAACAATGACGTCTACAACAACATCAACAATGACGTCTACAACTACATCAATAACAACAGCAATAACATCTACAACAACAATAACAACATGACGTCTATTGCAACAACAACAACAACAACGACGTCGACAACAACAACAACAATGACGTAAACAACAACAACGACATCAACAACAACAACAACGACGTCAACAACAACAACAACGACGTCAACAACAACAACAACGTCTACACCAATAATACAAAACAAAATCCTGAGGTCTCTAATAACAACAACAACAACAACCATCGTAATTGATTTCTTTGACTAGTTATTGAAATGAGGTACTACCAGAAGAAGAGAATTAACTTAACAAATTATCTTAAACAATTAATGTAACAAACGTTAGAGGTGTAATGTATCATTGGTAAATAGGAAGTAAAAAATGATAGTGTGTTATTTGACCATTTTAAATACATTCTGTTGTCGTGTTAATATGTGCAAAATAAGGAAAATGTCAAAAAACTACGACTACTACTACTACTACTATCATGATATTAGCTTAATATTAAATATCCTAATACATAGGTAGCTATCCTAGCTGTGTTGAATTAGTTGAGCAGCAGATCTATGCGGCATTCAGTGACTGTAGCCTCATAGTCAATATCTGCAGCTGTTGTCGGCTTTGGGGCCGAAGCTCTCGTTCCCCTGAGGCAGAGCAAAGCCGACGGAAGGAGAGAGAAGGACAGTCGACATCTCATCCAGGATGTAACAAAACTTCTGGGCTGCTGCTTCTGTTCGGAGATCACCTCCGCGAGTCTGGCGTAGAAACATCTTGCACTTGGTCCCATCCCACCAGAGGTTGTGAACACTAGAGGAGTGAAGCTGCCTTGATCAACGTTCTGAATTCTCTCCCCGTATGCCCTTATCTCCTCCTCCTCCTCCTCCTCCTCCTACTACTACTAATAATAAAAGATTAAAACAAATAATTTGGCCAGTTTCCTAAAAAAAATGATTCAAACGTAATCGAGAGAGAAATATTTCATATGAATCACCTGGGTAATGTACAAAGTAACACTATGGTTATTCACCATGATATTTTATTAATTTATACAATACATAGAAAAAGCCCATCAAACATGAAACAAGAAGGATGAAGTCATCTTACCACAATACACGATGTAACCCTAACAGAAAGGTGATTTAGTTACTCTCGAATCCTTTTGTTTTGTGAAGTTAAGAAGGATTAACGTATAACATTTCTCTTGGAACGCAAGTCACTTGTTTAAGTACAATTGTCTTAGAATTTATATATTCTGAGGGATAACATTAAACAAGATTTATAGATGATACTGTAATTTAATCGACATTTCCTGTAAGCAGTGCGTTTGCCAGTGAGAAGTTTCCGTTGCATAAAATTTTGTTTTTAAAGTGATGTTAAGTTCATAAAGTACCACATCAACAAACACCCAAGTGATAATCTAAAAACATCATCATTCTCTCTCTCTCCCAGTTAGTCTGTTGTTGATGTCGTGTATCGTCTGCCGTAAGGTGTGTTGGTGCTCGGGTTCAACAAGTCCGCCGTCACTAACGCACTCCGCGGTGTTCTTATTACCTGCTAATTTTTTTGCTCTTCCTACTGGCTGAGAGCGGGGACCCATCTCACAGGCAGGTGGAAGTTAGGCCCTCTCTCATAGACTTCTCCAGAAGGACGTCAACACCTAAGGGAGGTCTACCTGCTCAGGTAGAAAGCAGGTGGAGTGTGAGGGCCAGGTTGACGATGGCGACTGCATCGACAGCAACTGTGAATCCAAGAACGACATAAAAAATAAACCTAAAGTCGTTCACATGTTTCAAAGTCTTCATGGTTTGTCCAACGTCATTATTCATTGGTGAGGCAGTATCAACAGTTACTGTTAGCACCGTAGGTGCTTTTTCTCTCTCTGGGGAGTCTTTTGCCTGCCAAGTCGACACAGGTTGGGGTTGACAGTCTATGCTCCAGAATGCAACTCCTTTAACTAAAACATGCACTTTGGCCAGGCTGTAATGGTGCCGAGAGATACTGATCACTTTTCTTTCATGCCCGTCAACCAACACCCGATACTTATCTGTGTTAATTAACACTTGTACTCTGTTCCACACACCAGCCGTAAACGCGGTCTGTTTGAGAGAGTCAATGGCTATATTGTCGAGAGCTTCCCTGGGTTTGGTCAATGTTGCACGAAACTGGAGGCCCAAGAAGCTAGGATGAGTGTAAATGAAAAAGGGGGATGATTTCTCTAAACTTTCAACTTCAGATGGTTCTGATGATGCGTGCGAAGAATAAGAGCGACAACCTAAGTAGCAGTCATAGATAACTGTGGTAAACGACTGACTCTCCAGGTATACGAAGAGGTCGGCAGGTGGGGCATCCTTGGCTGTGGTGATAGAGGCCGTCGTGTTTGTCCCCAGAAGATGGAACACTACCTTCTTGTCTACAAAAACCACGCTAATGTCTGTCGATGAACAAGAGCTAATCGATTCCTGAGACCAGGAGGTATCAGTAGCGTTACTAGACCAGCACTGCTCGGAGTAGAGAGTCATGTTCACACTGCCCTTTACTGGCCGCACATGGAGGCAGGCTATGGAGACATTGTGTTGGTCTGTTACGTGTAATTGGGCGGTCGAAGTGCTGGTGGTGGACCACAGATGGACCAAGGTAGGCAGTGTGGCCCAGACATGGCCAGAGGGATACTCCTGGCAGGGGACAGCTTCAGGCAAGATCTGCAGGGCAGTGGAGAACCGCGCCAACATGACGCATAGCAGTAGCTGGCGGGGAGTGAACATCACCACTACATGTGAACTCAGGAACACCTGTTGTGAAGAACCAAGCAGGAGGGGAGCCACCACACGTCTGGGTTATACCTTCAGCTTAGAGAATCTGTATGGCGGACGGGAGGCACTAAGAGCTGAGTCACGGACCAAGAACCAACCAATGGTATTGTACTAACACTCACCGCCAGCCAATGAAATTGCTAGTAACAATATTGGATAAATCAATTGCATATTGCTACACAGTCTAATCCACATCTCTGATATTAAGGGACCAATCAGACTCTCCTCCCTTCGGATGGCGGACCAACCAGGGCTGAGAATAATGTTCGTAGTTCCAGTGTTTATCTCCCGACATCTCGACTTACTATTTTATTCTTTTATTTACATATCATTTTAGGTCTTGACATTACGGTGTTTATGTTTGATGGAGCATAAGGAGGCGATAACAAGGTATGATAATGAACCAGCGTCACCAGATATGCACGGCCACGCAGGTCCTGATAGGAAGTGTGATACCTCTTCCTGTCGTCTTGTGTTGGGACTTGTTGTCACTGCCACAAATATCTTCAAATCGGGCTCGGGATATCCTATACAAATATGTGACATATAATTTTATATGTAAGTTACTCGCCATATTTTTCACGGTTTTGTATACCTTGGATAATTTTAGTTCCATGAAGGAGACGAGGAGACTACTGTACCTTGTTCTCCCTTTTTGGTGTCGCAGTAAATATAATGCTGGATTCTTATGTTCCTCTTGGAAGTTCCATCTCTTAGTCAAGGGATTAAAGAAAATTTAGCTGCTTTTCCAAGATGTAGATTAAAACATATTCATAATCTATTTGTTCATAAATGCCCCTTTTTATAGAGGAACACCTTACTTAGAATATGAATTCATCATCCCCCTCTCATCCTAATGTAACTTTAGTATTTTCATTTGGCTAGCGCAAGATGATTACACTCAGCTGAGGAAAACCCGTCGGTATTGTCAAAGCGTTATTCTGCATTCTTATATTTCCCAATGATATTGTTGACATACACGGTCTGAGGACCGGGTATGTGGACGGGAAGCCGCTGAGGACAGCGAGTGTGGACGGAAAGCCGCTGAGGACCGCGGGTGTGGACGGAAAGCCGCTGAGGATCGTGGGTGTGGACGGGAAGCCGCTGAGGACCGCGGGTGTGGACGGAAAGCCGCGAGGACCGCGGGTGTGGACGGAAGCCGCTGAGGACGGGTTATTGGACGGAAGCCGCTGAGGACCGCGGGTGTGGACAGGGAAGCCGCGGGGCCGCAGATTGTGGACGGAAACCGCTGAGGACCGCAGTGTGGACCCGGAAAGCCGCTGAAGGGACCCGCGGGTGTGGACGGGAAGCAGGATCGTGGATTATTGGACGGAAAGCCGCTGAGGACCACGGGTGTGGACAGGAAGCCGCTAAGGATCGTGGGTGTGGACGGAAAGCCGCTGAGGACCGCGTGTGTGGACAAGAAGCCATTTAGGGCCGCGGGGGTGGACGGGAAGCCATTTAGGACAGCGGGTATGGACGGGAATCCACTGAGGACCGCGTCTGTGGACGGGAAACCACTGAGGATCGTGGGTGTGGACGGGAAGCCACTTAGGACAGCGGGTGTGGACGGGGAGCCACTTAGGACCGCGGGTGTGGTCGGGAAGCCACTTAGGACCGCGGGTGTGGACAGGAAGCCGCTGAGGACCGCAAGTGTTGTGGAGCTGCTACCACGAGTGGTTGGGGAAGGAGTGCCACGGACGCTCCTCGGTGACCAGACCAGGGGAGCTACTGACCTCTCTAGTGGACACAAACATTGTTGATGTTTTATGTTTTGTTATAATATATGCATTTATGAACGGAGTTTAAGTGTTCATCCTCCCACGTGTAATCAGAGTGTGGTAGGAGGAATCTGGTCTCACAATAAATGCAAAACTGTGCCAACACTGGGTACTCCTAAATGGATCATCCACCACAATGGGTCCATCCCTTCTTTTTCCAGTGGACGGGAAACCACTGAGGATCGTGGGTGTGGACGGGAAGCCACTTAGGACAGCGGGTGTGGACGGGGAGCCACTTAGGACCGCGGGTGTGGTCGGGAAGCCACTTAGGACCGCGGGTGTGGACAGGAAGCCGCTGAGGACCGCAAGTGTTGTGGAGCTGCTACCACGAGTGGTTGGGGAAGGAGTGCCACGGACGCTCCTCGGTGACCAGACCAGGGGAGCTACTGACCTCTCTAGTGGACACAAACATTGTTGATGTTTTATGTTTTGTTATAATATATGCATTTATGAACGGAGTTTAAGTGTTCATCCTCCCACGTGTAATCAGAGTGTGGTAGGAGGAATCTGGTCTCACAATAAATGCAAAACTGTGCCAACACTGGGTACTCCTAAATGGATCATCCACCACAATGGGTCCATCCCTTCTTTTTCCAGTAATTCTTATGGCAGTTTGACATTGGGGTTATAATAAAAGACAGACTTATTGTGTGTCGCCAAAAATAGACTCTTTGGACTATACATGTATGACTAAGAAAAAATATGAGCCAATATTATATCTCAGGGCCTGCTCACACCAATCCGGAACGGACACAGTTCTAACACAAATTGTCCAAACGAGTGAGTCAAGTGAACAACACATCACTATACTCACATCCCATCTAATTCAAATATTTGAAATCTTATCCTAGAGGGAAGATCTTTTCCATCTCCCTAGAAAAACCACGAGTCATGTAGCAGGTATTAGCTAAGCTGAGAAAATTATAATACCCACCGTCAAAGAAAAACAAAATAAAATGAGTAACTATTGCATTTAAAGTTTTGATTATATTTATAATATTTTGTAGCAGAAAATATACCAACAATTGAAAATGTTCAATATCTTAGCAACTATGAAGTTCACACTAAAGCATACCATTAATATTTTTCGTCTAAGTAATAATAATGAGTTCTTTAGAGAAGATGGCATGTAAATATTTCACAGAAGTTACACACACGATAAATAATGACAGTATCACTCTAGCGCCCCTCCACACACCTCTCTATAACCCATTTCTCTCCCCCCCCTCTCCCTTATCTCCCCTCCCTCATCCTCTGCTCTCCCTACACAAATGGGTCTTCCCCTAGATAGAGTGCTCGCTTCTCCCCAATCCCGAAACTCCAAAGGTCCTCACTCCCTCACCTAACTTATAGTCTATGAGTTATTTTTTAATGCCAGGTGTGTGTGTGTGTGTGTGTGTGTGTGTGTGTGTGTGTGTGTGCGCGCGCGTGTGTGTGTGTGTGTGTGTGTGTGTGTGTGTGTGTGTGTGTGTGTGTGTGTGTGTGTGTGTGCGTGCGTGTGTGTGTGTGTGTGTGTGTGGACATCTCTGACACACCTGCATCCTGTTTGGCATCAGTTGAGCAGGTGTTTCTGAGAGATCATTAGTGCTGGTCCTACTGTAGATTATAAGTGGTTCGTTATATTTAGCCGTGACTGTAAAAGAGCGAATGTACTGTATGGGGTGGTTGTTGCTTTTTGAGAGTTGTAGATGGTTGTGATTGTTATAGGTAGTTGTAATCACAGGTGGGTGTGATTGTAGGTGGATGTGATTGCAGACGGTTGTGGTTGTAGGTGGATGTGATTGCAGACGGTTGTGGTTGTAGGTGGATGTATGGCAGGTGGTTGACATTGTAAATAACCAATTACAAGAGGCGGTGATTGCACATATATTAAACAGTTCGGTTTGCTAGGTTAGGTTAGGTTTGTTTTTTGGGGAGGATTAGCTCACCCGGGCACAGGTCAATGACCCACATCAGGGCCTGGGGGCGAAAATATAATAATAATGATGATAATAATAATAATAATAATAATAATAATAATAATAATAATAATAATAATAAAAACAAGAATAAAATATAATAATAATAATAATAATAATAATAATAATAATAATAATAATAATAGTAATAGTAATAGTAATAATAATAATAATAATAATAATAATAATGATAATGATAATGAAATACCATAAAAAGGGATCAATGGTGAGAAACAATATATGTATGTTGTGTTGTCAAAATAAGAGAGACAATTGAGACCCTGCAATTGTGTGTAATTAAGGCAGAAAGTCAGATCAGCAACCTGAGATTTGGTCACAATTTTCGTGATGCCATATGGCAGCAGGGTCTACCATTAGACAACACATTATGCTTCCAATATGTTCCCAGGCGGTAGTACCTCCCTGTTTGGTAGCTGCCTCCTACCTCCTCCTCGCACCGCCATCGTCTTGGCTAGTAACAAATGCCATCTATCGTCTGTTATAAAGGTTACTCTATCTACTCGTGGGGTTTACAGAAAAAAGGGAAAACAAACAATGATAACAATGACGATGCATAACTTATTGATGTAAACATTTGTTGAATAATAATTACCATGTTAACTATATTATCTTTTCTTCTATCCTTCTTAGTTTCATTTTCTTATGTATAATTTTACTAGTAGTTTTCTAAAGTTTTATATTATACTTTAGCTCAAGTTAACATTGTAAGGTACGAACAAGATCCATCGTACGAAATTTGAGAATGTGGACCTTAGCAGTCACTCGTTCTTACATAACACAGTAGTAAGATTACCACACCACGTAAGGTTATTTTAGGTCACGCATCCGGGGAGAGGTACAGGCCCTAATTTGGCTATTCACGTGTCTGATTATTACCCATCAACTACGTTTTCTTTATTTGTCTAATCCTGAAATATTAAAAAAAAAACTAAAATGTTGTCATTATAATCATTCTATATCATTCCCTTCAATTGCCGTTAGTGATCATATTAATTCTGTGTGTGTGTGTTGTTTGCCATAATACGTGACACTTGAACAGTAATGGTATCACAGTTGGTGGTGATAAAGCGAGAGTGAAGCCACCTGTTGAAGTTGATTAGCGTGCTGAAGTGGCGTCAGTACAGCAGCGGTAGCAGTCGTCTTCACACCTATCCGAGAGCTGGGTCAAGACTTCGCACCTGTACGTGTTTCTTTTTAGTGGTTCTCGAATCTGTTCAAGATAATCTCAAAACTTAATCTATAAGACGTTAGATGAAGACATTGCTCTTCCAGTATCTTTTATCTTTTACCTTTACAACATAAGCTAATCGATTATGTAAGAAGGAATTCGTATTTTGACTTTTTTAATAAAGAATCGTATTACTACAGTAAATAAAACAAAATCAAATAGGAAAACGACGAACGGTAAAGTAATACGCAGTACTTTTGGTGTTAGTTGGTAAGAGAGCGGCAATTGAAGTACCTAAGACCAAGTGAACGCTGCTTTGTAAACCCCGACAGTTGAAGCATTAAAAACTAAGACTCATAAACAAAACATATTAACTTACATATAGAAAACTAATATTTACCAAACATGTTGTAAAACTGTAAATAAAAAAAAGAAGTATATGAATTAAACTCGGGTTACATGAGGTACCTTAACACAAAACAAATAATTGTACTATATATAACCCTGAAATAATTGTACCGTGCGTCTCCGTATCTAAACTACAGTATGTAAAAGTAAAGGCAGTTCCAAATTAGGGTTGGCCGATTTAAACCAGTTGTTTTAATGATTGGAAAAGAGTATAAGACATAACAGAAAAGCATCGTGGGAGGTATTACAAATGTATGGGGTGGGAGGAAGGCTACTAAATACAGTAAAAACATTCTATGATAACAGCAGGGCAAAAGTAAGTGCAAATGTGAAAGGAAATGAAACATTTGAAATATATGTAAGTGTTGAACAGGGATGTGTTATGTCCCCGAGGTTGTTCAATATATATTGACTTTTCAGAGAGCACAATGAGGCTGTTGTTTCTCCCGGTGGCCTTGGTGGTCGTGAGCTTGTGAGTATAGAACCCGATATTTTTCCACCTAATATGATTCAAATACTTTCTATATCTACCATGAAAAGTTGACATAGATGGGAAATATCTAAATTAATGTTCCATTAAAATCAATATACCCCCAAACCTAACCTACACTCTTCTCTCAGGTGCGTGGGAGATCCAAAATGTAACCCAAAATGCGAACTCGTGAAGTGTGGCTACCCTGAAGACTGCGAGTATGGGGCAGTGATTCCTGAGTGCCGCTGTTGTCCAGTCTGTGCTGAGGTAGACAGAGCCGTCATTGTTCACGCTCACAATTATTATTATTATTATTATTATTATTATTATTATTATTATTATTATTATTTTTATTATTATTATTATTATTATTAATTTTGATTGCCTGTTTGTATGTGTACTCTTTTTTTTAATATTATCATATCAAATAAATCATAAGCTAATATAAAGAATAAAGAGAAAAACTCGCAGTGTTCGAATTCCGCGAGTGTCATTAAATTTCTATGGTTGCCCGGGTAATTATGTCACTCCAGTGGCTTCACCATGCATGAATGTAAATCTGTTGTGTAGTTATTATTACTGACTTTACATTCATTATTATTATTATTATTATTATTATTATTATTATTATTTCTGCGTCATGATTCACTATATTGACTGTGGCTTTTCTCCCTATTCAACAGAATCCCTATTTGCCTCTACAGCAGGTCCAACAACAAGCAGGTACGTCTTATGTCTTAAAATTACTGTATGAACTGAAGTTGTTTTATTCATAAAGTTACAACTGGATGTGGATTGCGTCTTCGAGTTGTTTAAGGTTTTAGGTTATGAAGTTAAGAATCTTTACGTGTGAGTGTTGTGAAAGATTGGTGGGGTGAGTAAAATATTGTAAACATGTTGGTTAGAGTGACGGGGGATAGATTATACGCTCTACACACACACAGAGAGAGAGAGAGAGGAGCGCTTATATAGATATTTTAAACATTGGGCAAGAATGGGATTAGAATACATTAAATAGTGTGTTATGTTAATGTGTGAGGTCTCTAACTCGTGAGGACAATGGTGCTGTTGTAATTGAAATATTCACGCGATCTTTACGAAATTCTGTAAGGCGCCCTGCAGAATAAAGTATCTGTAAGCATAAATAGAGGCTGGAGTTAGTGGCCCACGGCTGAGGTTAGAGTGAATGTGTTGTGATTATGGCTTTTTAATATTTCTGAGTATTCCACACGCGCGCACACACACACACACACACACACACACACACACACACACACACACACACACACACACACACACACACACACACACACACACACACACACACACACACACACACACACACACACGTTGTTTCAAATATGTTTGCAAATGGTTATTTTCTATCGGGGTTTGGGAAGTAAGCTGTCAGGTGAATTAAGAATCGTGCAGGACAGGAAAATAGAGAATCGATGAAAACAACTTTTATAATAGTTTTAATTTACTGTTTGAACACATTGCTGTTGTTAATCATCAGTGTTGCTTTCATTTTGATAATTCTCCTAATTGTACTTGCTACTATTTGTGTGTATGATAATAAAGTGTGTGTGTGTGTGTGCAGGTGAGGCGAGGACAGCGAGGAGGAAGCGGAGGTCAGGCGTTGTGGGCACCGCTACCAGGAAGGCCAAGGTCCACTCATACAAAAGAACCGGTGGCTTGTCAAAAGAATTTCTGGAAAAAGTCAGGCTGTATTTGCTGCAAAAGAAGGCAGCCGAGGCCGCCAAAGCAGCAACTAAGAACCAGTAGAACACCACAAGTTTCCGAAGTGAAGAACTCTGGTATGAAGACCTGCAGTACTGTGTTCCCGTGGAGATACCAGAAGGTGTTGAGGGGTGCTGAGGATCTACACCAACAGTTAGAGGATAAACAGGGCAAAGCTATTGTTATCAAGAACTTTTTAGTGAATTTTGGCGTGCATAAGAAATCAATATCAAGGAGAATAAAGTTTAAGTCTAGACACTTACGAGAAAACTAACACTTGACTGAATGCCTCTCCCTCCTGACTCACTCTTAAACGTCGAGCTTGTACTTGAGTAGAGGAATTATCTCCACCCGTTTCATCATGTTAACGGACAGGGAAGTGGGAGGGAGGGGGGGGGGCACCCTAATGCTCAAGGCACGGGGGTTCTGATATAATTACAATTAGGTCGTAGATTGCTAAGCTAAATAATTTATTTCAATAAATCGAATGAATAAAACTAACCTTATGTTGTGCTTACTGATTAGTAGAAATGTTTCCTGTGTGTGTGTGTGTGTGTGTGTGTGTGTGTGTGTGTGTGTGTGTGTGTGTGTGTGTTTGTTTGTTTGTTTGTTTGTTTGTTTGTTTGTTTTAATACTTTGATTGCTTCACTTTACTTAATCATCTTCGCCAGTTGTTGTCCTGTTAGCCACTCGGGCGGTAAGATACGTCTCTCTTAGGCACTGTTTAACAAGTACTGGGTATGTAAGGGCTCCTGAATGTATCTGTACTATCAGCAGTGTTGGTTGGTGTCGTCACAACACACTCTGGCAGGCTGACTGAGTAATGTCCGCGGAGGCGTTTATAAATTTCAATTAAGTCACCCTTTGCCCGTCTACAGTATAAGCTAGGCAATGGTAGGCGTTCAAATCTTTCTGGGTAAATGTAAAATATCTTAGGTAATTAAATGTAAAGTTGGGTTAGGTTAGGTTAGGCTCGTACATTGAATGTAATGACAATTTATTCATCCACGCCGAATCCCTATCTACGGCTGACAGACGAAAATTGTTGTCGATTCAATAGTAATTCGTACCCAGATATTCGTAAATGCAACTTTGTTTATTTTTTCAGTTTTCTTCGACAACTGATTTGCATTATAAGCACTAAAACGAACATGGGAGGAGAGATACCGCCGCCTCCAACACAATAGAGGACACTGCTTTTATATCAACACACACTTGTTGCTTTACGAATAGTTAAACTTTTGAAAACTTACTGACTGTCTCCTACAACCAGACTATATGAGTGCTATATTCTGTGGAGATTTATTGAAGTAGAAACACTGAATAAAGCATTTTGTTAAAGGTTAAATATCAAACGCAGACAATTTACTGATGATGGAAAGGACCGTCGTGAGCCAGAGAGACCCAGGAAGCAGCGGTGTACGAGCGGCCTAGGTAACTACTGACGGGTAATGATGGCTCGTATGAGACACCAGGTTCAAGGTGACAGTGTTTGTTATGGGCTTGGAACACTAAAACAGAAGACATCTGTTACAGAGGCTGGAGAAAATAAAGATAAAATATTTGTGAAGGTCTGTGTTGTTCTTATTTACCTTTACCTTATTAACCTAACGGCCACCCACTAGAAGTGGCCACGCAGAGGCTAGTGGCCTGGTTAAGATCCCTCCATTGTTCTTGATAATCTTGTCAAGGATTATGAAGCCCAGTACTTCCTGGAGAACATTGGTAAATCATGGCAGCTGAGATATACATGTACCCGCTAAAGAGACTTGATAAGTGAAACACTCGATTAAGCTTCTATTTTTGACGCGGTAATATTTTATACAGGTGTGTCAGTCTGTCATCCTGACCGGGGTGACTTTAGTTTATTTACTTCTTGGTTGACTGTGATTTGGGAACACTAAAGTGAATCATGATCCTTCAAACTGAAGCACAGCCATTATTCGAGGTGTAACAAAGTACCACTTAGGTCTGAAGCACTCACCCATGATCCGGAGTGGTTCGATACACACTCAGCGTGGTCATAAATGTTCCCAGTAGCTAGTAATGATTCGAAATGTTTCATAAAACTCCAGGTTTATGAGGAGCTGTACGTGTTTTTCATTAAATATATATATTTATGTGATGAGAAAAACTATATAGCGGAGTTGTGGACGAGTACCTTGGTGTTCCTTCATTTTACTATGGCGGAGAGATAGGCAAGTGTCTAGCCACATCATCATCATCTACCTTATCTACCTGTAAGTAACGAGAACATAAATCGAAAAAAACAACAACGAAAGAAAACGACGACTATTGTTAAATGGACCTTGTGTCACCCAACATAATGGCGTGTGTGGACTTCCATTAAGCCATTAGGACCATTTAACCCATTACTAGCCACCACACGCAGGTCATTATGAGAGTTGAGTCAAAGTCTGTCGCCTTGAAAGATTCCTAAGTTAATTTTTCTTCCTTTCTAAATGGAGTATAATAGAGACCATCTTCGTATGCTAAACTCTCACACCAATTTCCCAGCCATTTCCCCTTAATTGGTGTTTAAGAGAGGTCATTTACGTAGGTCGAGTGTGACAGCGATGAAGAGCTAGATATTCTTGTTCGTAAGTCGAGTTAGAGACATACAGTAGACTCGTATAGAACACCAATTACGGGAAGACATAAAAGGTAATTTTAACATTCTGAACCAGGTTATGGAACTTATTTTAATTCTCGATTCAGAATGTAATCTAAACTAACCTAACTCTAAACTAACCTAACTCTAACCTAACTATAACCTAACTCTAAACTAACCTAACTCTAAACTAACTCTAAACTAACCTAACTCTAACCTGCCAGGGAAGAAAAGTCATATCAGTCAGTCGGTCAGTTGGGCTTCGTATTCAGAGAGAACTAGGTATCATTATGTCAGTTGTCAATACAGGCCAGACTCGTTTTCTGTTCTGTACACACATTCATTCACCTTGACAACTTGTAAAAATAAAATAAAAAGAAAAAGAAAAATGAGTTATCACATAAATTCAACCATTAAAAGTAAAAGAATCTTATATAGAAAAAAAAAATATATGATTTACTTACAACAGATATCGTAAATAAGATGTCTGTCTAAAGAGAAATATTCAAATATGTCTTTCATTTATAATTGAAAAAACAAAAAACTTTAAAAGCAAAAAAACTGACAAATTGACGGGGAAAAAATATTCTCACTCTATATACACATTATTATATCTATTAAGAAAAAATATATCAAGATGGAAAGAAAATACAGTTAGAGAAAAATATTTAATGAAAGTCTGAATTTTTTTGGCCAAGGTATTTTTCATTATAAGTTCAAAGGACTGGTGTATATATTTCACGCTTGATTATCATTATTTCACAGCCTCTCACCGCCTCGTGTACGTTTATATCCACGAAATATATTATGTTTTCTTAATAGAGTGAAATATATTCTCTCTCTCTCTCTCTCTCTCTCTCTCTCTCTCTCTCTCTCTCTCTCTCTCTCTCTCTCTTCCATCCTCCTTTCCCCTCTGTCCTTCCCCTATCTTCTTCTCTCCTACCCCTTCTCCTTCTCTTAATAAACGGTGTTAATTATTTTTATTATTACACACACACACACACACACACACGTAATAACTTTGGTGTTAAGGATAATCGGATAATCACTTCGACGAATCTCACTTTCTCTCCCTCCCTCTTCCTCTATTTTCACCTCTCCTGTCATCCTTTTCGCCCTTCTCTTCTTTCTTCATCCTCTGCCTTCTCGTCCTTCTTCATCTACCTCTTTCTCTTCCATCATTTACCTCTTTCTCTTCCTTCATCTACCTCCTCTTTCTCCTCCTCCTCCTCTACGCCTATATCCTCCCTCCTCCTCCTCCTCCTCCTCTATCTACCCCTTTCTCCTCCCTCTTCTGCCTCCTCCTCTTCGTCCTGTCTGTTGTTGCACATTGTATGATCGCCGAACAAGTGGTCAGATCAATTTGCCTCGGTTCCCGTAATTGCCAGAGGTAATTCGCCAAGTGTGTAGATATTTTGGACGAAATTGGGTTATTTGTGTAAAACTAACGTCATCACTGTGAATTGTATACAGAGTTTGTATAGGTAGTATTGAGAAAACAAAACTCTATGGCAGTGTATACTATGTCGTGTCTGTCCATGTGTGTGAGTGTGTGTGTGTGTGTGTGTGTGTATGTGTGTGTGTGTGTATGTGGGTGGGGGGGTGTTTGTGTATGTGTGGGGCTGTATTTGTGTGTGTGAGGGGTGTGTGAGGGGTGTGTGAGGGGTGTGTGAGGGGTGTACGAGTTTATACCTCTACTTACTGCTCCATGGTCTGTCACCTACTGTACCTATTAGTTATGTCCCCCTTCTATTTTTCTTAGAGGGAGTAATAAGAGAAAATGTTACTTAATTGGGTAACTCTAAGAAGAAAATATTCCTACGTTATATACACACACCATCATCTATATATCTATTCTTCGTTCCTGTATTTCATTTGTGTTTTTTTTTATTATTTCCACAATCCAACCTTTATTTCTGTGTTTTATTTGATATGTGTTTGTTGTTTGTTTTGTGATGTATTCCAACGCGACGTTTACCATTTCCTTTGGTTTCATCTATACGTAACTTTTTCTACTATAGGGGGTGATGCTCTGCTGTACACTACCACACGTCCAGCTCCCAACCCTGCTCTAGCCTCTCTCTTTGGTCTGGGATTAATTAGTCTCTCTTGGGATAAATTGTCGGTCGTGTTTTTAATGTAGATCTCTCTCTCTCTCTCTCTCTCTCTCTCTCTCTCTCTCTCTCTCTCTCTCTCTCTCTCTCTCTCTGTCTCTCTCTCTCTGTCTCTCTCTCTCTCTCTCTCTCTCTCTCTCTCTCCAGCACCATACACTGACTTAGAATACTATATCTCCAACACCACCAATATATCTCCAACACCACCATTATATCTCCAACACCACCATTATATCTCCAACACCACCAACATATCTCCAACACCACCATTATATCTTCACACCGTGGTGGAGATCTGGGAGGAGAATTTAGCTGCGGTAAAGTTGTGTGAATTTAATGTAGTGAAGCTAAATTTTCTCGGATATATTCTGGTGAACATAATGTGAGGGAGTTGGTGGCCCAGGTGTTCATATAGGGGTCTAAATTCAACACGAACTGCTGGCCTCTCAATCAGTCTTCGTCTCGTAGCTGTGAGGAAGAAGGCGTAGTTGAAGTTATCATTGACCATGTTTCTTTACCCTTTATATACATAGATTTTTGTAAGAGTTA